GTTCCAGCTACTTGGAAGGCTGAGGTGGAAGGATTGCCTGAGCCCAGTAGGTCGAGGTTGCGGTGGCCGTGAGTGTGCCACTGCACTCCATTCTGGGCGAGAGGTTGAGACTCCAACTCAAAAAAAAAAAAGAAAAGAAATGACAGTGACTAACATGTATTTCTTCTTACATTGCTCCTTTAAACATTTAGAAAATGTATCTGTACTTGAAGTTTAAATCATTCTGGTTTGGGGTATTGTCAAAATATAAATTGTTCTGGTTTGTATAAATCAAAAGTAAAATTCTAAGCCCCCCAACTGACTGAACGGACCTCCTCTGGACCAAGGGAGATCTGAAAAACTAAATTTCAGGATATGACAGGAAAAGAAGTCAGACATGCTTCATTATACCCACTCCCTTTTGGAGTTCAGGTACCACTGATTAGTATTAATATTAAAATAGACATCATAAGACTGACCAAACAGATACTTTGGAAATAAGATGCCAAATTCCAACCTGACTCTGATATAGCATTACATGACAGATAGCAGGCCTTAGGGGAAATAAAGGTATTTTACTCCAAAACATATTTCTTTGACATATTTTGAAATGACCCTACAAAACCACTTCTTAGGAAAATTTGCATCTGTAGGGAGTCTCCTTCCCTAGGAAGTGTCTGACACATTTTAGGACATTTACCACCTATTCTCTCGGCAGGAAACTTGGCTTCCACAGCTCTCTTTATCTTAACTCAATCATGTCATAAATTCGAATTCTTTAGACAGAGCTTAACTCTTTCAACCAATTGCAAGTCAGAAAATCTTGAATCCACCTATGACTTGTAATTTCCCCCCTTTGAGATATTCCACCTTTCCAGGTTGAACCAATGTACACCCTACATGTATTGATTTATGTCCTTGCCTGTAAAATTCTGTCTCCCTAAAATGTATATAACCAAGGTGTAACCCAACTACCTTGAGCATACATTCTCATAAGACTGTACTGCCCAGCCATGGTCACTCATTATTTGCCTCAGAATATATTTCTTTAAATATTTTACAGACTTTGGCTTTTCATCAACATTTAGAATTATGACTAAGCGAAAGGAAGCATTTCTGTGCCAAAGTCAGCAAAATCAGTGAGTTACATGATTATTGCTCAGCATTTGGAGAGCCTGGCTGCCACACATTCTGGTGAAATCTAACTGAAGTTTTCAAAAGTCTGTCTTGAAACTCCCCTCCCAGTATCCACATTAGAAAAAGAAAAGCTTGAACCATCAGTCTCCAGCAGAAGCTCTATTCTTTTTCTTTTTCTAATCACTATCTTAACCCATTTATGGGGAAAGTTAATCTTACATCATTACTTCCTGTGTTGTTCTTTAATTCTTCAAATGTTTTTAGATTTTATGATTTTTAAAAACAATTGACTTCAAGGAATACTAACACAGTTTTCATAAGTGTCAATATGTAGATTGTATAATTTATTACACTGCCACTCTGCTTAGTGTACTGATGGGGCTCAGAGAAACGATACCCACCAAACATGGTGCTTTCATATGCTGAGTACTTTGAACTAAAGAAGCAGCCTCAGAACCAAGGTCTTTCTGACTTTCTCTTGCTCCACTGTCTCTCGTCCCTCTGCCTCCCTGAAGCACAGCAAGAGACATTCTCTGAAGTTCCCAGAAGGAATGCAATCTCATCAAACAGGGAAGATTAAATCATGGGAAGGAAGATTGGAGATGACGTGACAAACTTTGTCTCAGGCTATTGTCTATTCTTCAGGACCATTCAATGATTTACTTTCCCTTTAAAAGTACCAGCATCTCCCATTTCCCTCTTGCCTATGAAGAGTATATTTAAACTTCAATCATCTGGTCCTTCTTTGAATTTCATGCTTTGTGTGACTCCCACAGCACTTGCGTGTTAATAAATTTTCTCCTGTTAGTCTGTCTACTGTCTGTTTTGCAGACTCAAATTCTTGAACCTTCAGGGGGTGGAAAGAAAGTTCCTTTCATTCCTATAGCATTCAAAACATTATTTGAAAGAGACTAGACTATGTGTTTCCTTTTCCTCATCTTGAAAAGAAAATGAGAAAGCATACAAATTCTTCACATTGTGAACTTCCATTTTTTTGTGAATCTGAAATATGATTTTTAAACAAGGTCCTCGCCTGTTAAGTTGCTGCCTTACATAATATAGGTTGGCTTGAGAGAGAAGAAAACATTTCCTTGATTTTCCTGTGAACCATCTGAGTGATGGTTTTAAGCTGCATTTTTTATACCACCTTCATCATCATTTCACTTTATCTATATTAAAAGTTCACATATTTAAGAGTAGTATGCTTCTAACAGTATAAATATCTTTTTGTCTTTTATCACAAGTAGATTGATCAGGCTATTCTCTCACTGCTGTGTTTGAGAGACTTGGTGTTTCAGATATAGTAAACCCCAAATCACGAAATTTTCCTAATTTAACCATAGGCTGGAATTAAAACTAGGAGAGAATGAATTTTCTTAGTATAGCCAAACTCTTTGATAAGTAAACATGCAATGTGTTAAAAAAAAAAAAAACGGAGTTAAAGGATCCATTTTTACAAATAGTTGATAACCCTTTCTATGATTTGGATATGGTTTGGCCCTGTCAAGTCTCATGCTGAAATCTGATCCCCAGTGTTGGAGGTGGGGCTTGGAGGAAGGTGTTTGTGTTATGGCCATAGGGGTGCATCCTTCATGTGTGACTTGGTACTATTCTCCCAGGAGTGAGAGAGTTTTCACTCGATGAGTTCCCTGAGAGTTAGTTGCTGAAGAGTCTAGCTGTCGCTGCTGCTGCTACTCCTCCTCCTCTTCTTCCTCCTTCTCTTCCTCTTTCTTCTCTCTTGTCTACCTGCTCCCATCATGTGGCAGGTTCCCCTTTGCCTTCTGCCATGAGTGGAAGCAGCTCAGGGCCACCACTTGATGCAGACACCAGTGCTATGCTTCTTGTACAACCCGCAGAACAGTGAGTCAAATAAACTAATTTTTTTTAATCACCCAGTCTCAGGTATTTTTTTTTTTTTTAGACAAACACCAATGGGGATGAAGACAACCCTCTACAAGGATTCACTAAGATTTATCTAGACAGAAAACTCTCATAGCGCATTTAAAACTATGTTTTGGAAGACATATAGAGAATCTCAGACAAGCTTTTCAAAGCACATGGTGTTTGCTTTAAGTAAGGCATGCTGGTGGGTATGTGGAAGGACAGTGTGGTGGGATGGAATCAGACAACCAGCAGGAGAGTAGCAGTCATTGGAATAATGAGATAAATGCATCCTGAGTCTCTATGGCAACCAGGGAGCCCAGCAGATCCTCCACCCCAGCTCCTGTAGAGCAGCCCACCTGTGCCAAGTCTTACCCTGCTCTAGAACAAGCGGTTTTATTGCTACATTAAATTGTTCCAAGGAATCCAATTTATGAAACAGTACCGATTACTTTGGCTAAGTCTAAATCTCTGATGCACTCATCAAGACATGTTTTCCAGATAAATGGTATAAATTTTCTTTTCAAAAGATACATTTAGAATGAGGATAAAGGAAGAAAATTCACTTTCATGCTACATTTATGATTCATTAAGGTTTGCAGGGCTATTTGTGCATGCAAGTTAGTGGACTTGTTTCCAGCAGATTCTGGGAGCAGTAACGTCCTCTCTCATAGAGGGTGGCATGCTTGTAGGGGGTGCTACTGGTGGCTTAGAAAGGTTTCCAGTGGCCTTTCATTTCAAGATTTCATCTCTGTCTGTGATCTCCTTCTCTCTGCCACTTACTAGTTGTGGGTCTATAGACAAGTTTCTTCATCTCACTGTGTCTTAGTTTTCTTATCTATAAAATGCCGGTAATAATTTAACTTACCTTATCTTACCCACTATATCACACTTATTTTCATTCAACCATTTGACAGAATCAAATAAGCTAATGTATATTAGACGTCCTTATCATAGCACTCAATGATAATTGCTATTATCATAATTATCTTTTTGTTTAACATCAGATAATATATTTCCCTTCTTAGTTTCAATGTCTTATCTTGTGAACTCAAGGAAATTGATCTTACTCATTTTATCTCACATTTTCCGTAAGCACCTAGTATTACCTCAACTAGATTGTGGAATACATGAACATGAACATATACAGCTTAAGAGATCTTTGTGGTTTAAGCTCAAGGTTGCAGCCTTGAAAATTTTTCAAAGGGATAAAAAGATTGAAAATGACTTTGGCCTTCTTAGAACCATAGGATATGTGGCCTTAACCACAGGCGATAACTAGTTACAGACAAGTTAGTAATACTAGAGTTAAGGGTCAAGTAGTGAACAGACAGATTTGGTTCACAGCTTGCTTTCACGAGTGATTATCTAGGTGTCCTAGGAAAATGTGTTTGATTTCACTGAGACCAAAGAGTATCTGTAAAATGAGGCTCATAATTCATAGGATTATTTGGGTTTTATGTACAACACATTAAAAGCACACAGTAAAGTCCTTAATACTTAGTGGGCGCTCACGAATGATGGTTCCTATTATTATCATCATTACTGCTAATCCTATAATAATATATTCCTCAGCATGAAATTTATTTTAATGTGAAGCCAGGATACTAATGTGTAAGACCTTGTTCCACAAGGTATACATGTGAACGAAAACTCAAAATGTAATTCCCTCTTCTTTGTGCTCTGTTATGTAAAGAGTGCTAATACTGGAGTAGAATGGATTTCATTATCACAAAATAATAGAAGAGTAAAAGGTAGAACAAGGGAAAAGTGCTAAGTATCCAGTGAATTCGTTAACACATTTTTAGCCAAATATGTATAGATATATACATATCTATATATTCAGCTATTTTAATCATTGAGATTGCTACTGTGTGAGAAAGTGCGTGAAATACAAAGTACAGGAAAATACTTCAAACTTTTTGCAGAAATTAAAATAAAATATTTACACTATGTATTATCTATTATAAAAGATAAGTTCATTAGAGAATCAATTTTGTTACCTGTGTTGGAGTCACTAATTCCAACTCTGAAGCTGACTCAGAGTTGAGGGCACTTTTCCCAACACTCAGTTCCGGTTGAGATCTGTGCTCTGAGGACCTAAAAGGATGCATTAAAGAAATTGATGTATATACCAGGAAACACAATCAACTGGAAATTCAGCCAAGAAACTTCGGCAAATTGGATCACTGAAAGCCATGATAACAGAGCTCTCATTGATGATAAAGATAAGTTTTATATATTTCAGAATTTAAGTGTCTGCAATATACCAGTATTATTATCTATAATTAAGTTAGAAATCAGTTCAGTTATCAGAAAAAAAGTAAATAAATGCAATACGATTTTTGTTACAGAAATTCTGCATTATATAGAAAGTATTTTTTTTTTAGAGTAGACGTCTCACCAACTGTTTCAGGTGTGAGTTTATCTTTATTCAGAATTTGAACTGTCATAATAAGTGGAGATGAGGAAGGACAGCAGGAGATTGAAACAGACTGCTGGCCCTTAGGAAACTTCAAAAACATGGTACATACAGCTCAGGTGGCCAGATAATCTCATAGGCACCCATAAGTTATTCTTAATTACTGCATTATCTGATAGGGATAATTGAGAAAGCCAGAAAAGGTTACCTGTATAATCAGAAAAATTTAACATTCATGTATGTAATATGTTGAGTATACTCATACACATATGTAAGCATGTACCTTTTTTTTTTTTTTTTTGAGTTGGAGTCTCACTCTGTTGCCCAGACTGGAGTGCAGTGGCCGCTCCTGGCCACCGCAGCCTCAACCTGCTGGGCTCTGGCGATCCTTCCGCCTCAGCCTTCCGAGTAGCCGGAATTACAGGCATGCGCTACCACGCCTGGCTGATTTTTTGATTTAATGTAGAGATGAGGTCTCGCTGCCCAGGCGGGTCTCGAACCCGCAGGCTCAGGCAATCCACTCACCTCAGCCTCCCAAAGGCGCGGGATTACAGGCTGAGCCACTGAGCCCGGCTATATGTACCTATTTTGACAGTCAGCACAGTTTCACATTTGAAAAATAATCGATACATGTTGAATTTCAAACATTCCAAAATCCTTATTGACTAAATTGACTTAAATTTTGACAAATCAGATGAAATAATTTAGACATTGTTGAAGTCACAAATTTTTTTTAAAAAAGCTAATTAGCATTGTTGTATAGGGGGTTATATGTGATGCCAAGTATTTGGATTGACTTAACTCATTGACTGTTTCAGTACATGAGAGAAACATTCAAAGTTGACACAAAAATGGGATTTTCTAGTATCAAAATATCTTACCATAAAAGCTCTTTTGATCCAGTTCTAGATGAGCATGATTTTCGCTCTGCCATTGGATGCCCCTTGCTATTTCGATCTCCATGAAACTTAACATCATCCCATTTTTCCAGTTGTGTTTGAATGTCTATTTGGGAGACAGGAGGGGGATGAGGGGGGTGGGAAGAGCATAAGGTGCCAAGAGAAGAACAGAGATAGATTATGATTGTGACTGAGAAGTCTTATGCAAGTGATCATGAGTTGACGGATAATCTCAAACCCCAAGACCAAACTTCACCTTTCAATGTTGCGTACAAATTAAAGCATGTGCAGTTTAAATTAAAATGAGACTCATTAAGAGAAATGCATTGCACCAGCAGTTGAAGCAATCAAGTTGTTTTACCTGAATGTATTTCTGAAGCTAAGTGCATTCTAAGCCCTGCTTTTTGAGCTTGTGGGATCCAGTAGTGGAGTGGCACCCTGTCTGCTCCCAGGTAGGGAGGTAGGTGGCTCTGGGGCATTTCTGGTGTGTTTCCAGAAAGACATTCTGTTTAAAGGAATGAGCTTTTATGTTGAAAGGAGGTGGGAAGAAACCAGAACATTGTTACACCTATTGTGTAGATCACTTAATTTTTTACCAAAGAGAAGAATTTATAATGGGGACAGAGATAAGGGAGTCAATGAAGAAAGCCAAAGCAATGCTAGAACCATTTTCTCCCTGTGGCCTAATTCTTTTTTTTTTTTTGAGTTGGAGTCTCACTCCTTTGCCCAGGCTGGGGTGCAGTGGCATGCACGGTCACGGATACCCCAGCGTCGACCTGCTGGGCTCCAGCGATCCTTCCGTTTTAGCCTTCCAAGTAGCAGGAACTACAGACATGTGCTACCATGCCCAGCTATTTTTAATTTTATTGTAGAAGCGAGGTCTCACCAAGTTGCCCGGGCTGGTCTCGAACCCGCGGGCTAAGACAATCCGCTCGCCTCGGTCTCCCAAAGTGCTGGGATTACAGGCTGAGCCACCGAGCCCGGTCAGCTTAATTCTTACAGATAAGGAATCTGACTGGATTCTCTCTCGTTAACAGATACGTGACTGTGAACAAACCACTTAAACAATCTTGGGATTCAATGTTTTCATTTATAAAAAGATGAGTTTGCAGTTGGTGTTCTCCAAGGTCATTTTTTCCTTTCTCTTAAAAATTGTGGTAAAAGATGCATAACAAAATTTACTATTAACCACTGTAAAGTGTACAATTCAGTAGTATTAGTATATTCACACTGTGGCGCAACCATGGCCACTATTTATGTACAGAGCTTTTCATCATCCCAACCAGAAACTCTGTACCCATTAAAAATGAACTCCCCATTCCTCTTCCCCCCCAAACCCTGGTTCCTTGTGTTCCACTTTCTGTCTTTATGAATTTGACTGCTCTAAGTAACTCATATAAATAGAATTATATAGATCGATAGAGTATTCCTTATCCAAAGGTTGTTCCGCCTGGCTGTCCCTGGGCCTTGTGTTAGAGTTGTTTACTCACTTGTCTCTCTCCTGCTCCCTAGACTGAGTGCTCCTGGAAAACAAGATTCACGTTTCATTTGTATTTGTAGCTCCAGTGCTGAGCATGGTGCCTGGCATCTACCAAGCACTCAGTACATGTGGGCTGAATACATACATGAATGAATCAATATCTTTCATGCAAAACCAAGTTTCCCAACGGTGATTCAACCCAAGCACAAAAGGAGCTATGCCCTGCCCAGTTTACTACATGAAATTCACCTCTTCTAACCCTTCATTCGCTGTTTTAATGTCATCTGTGGAACTTTCCTGTTGTATCAACACCACAGGGCAAGGTTGAGCCCCAGCAGCTACAAACTACTGCCTTACCTAAGTCCAAGGATGAAGTCTCCGGGACTCGGAGGGGCTGGGCTCTCTGCTCAGCCTCTGCACTGATGAGGTCAGATCCATCAGCCTTTTTTTTGAGGGATGAGGTTTTTGATGAAGATTCCGGCTTCTTGGCTTTGGTTTGGGTCTGAGAGATGGGTTCACTCAGGTCGAGGAGATCCAAGCCAGTGGTCAGTACTATCAGATACAGAAGAGGTTAAGATAACCCTGTTTACTGCCTGAAATATTTTTAAAAATAGGTTTTAGTTGAATACAGAAGGATTTTGTGTTTGTAGGATAAGTTAGAGACACCAAATTAAGCCAGCTCATCACCGACTTATAAAGACAGTTTTTTAGACTGGGAAGTTTACTGCATGTATCCTTATATTTGGCCTGGTACAAACCAGTAAGAGAGGACTCAAATCAACCTTAGCAGTGATGAAGCTTTGAATGAAATTAAAATGATAAAACAGACTCAGAGTTCAGGTACTATATTTTCTGTATTGTTTTGCTTTATTTATACTGAAGGTTTATTTTAGATTGCAATGTTTCCAGAGAAGGATCAATCTATTAAATTCAGAGACTAAGTGACGTTTTTGAGTGTCTTTGAGTTTTAATTTTAAACAATAAAGTATATGGGATATAAACGAATGCTGTTAATCATCTTTTATTTAATTAAGCAGTTCAATCAGGAAATGGCATGCTGTTTGTGCTCACACTAGAGAGGTATTTTATAATCCATAGTTGATGAATAGGTACACATGTTAATGCCTTTGCTGTTTAATATGCAAATTTAAATTTCAATGTAACAAACTATAAAACTGTTACACTTTTACTCCTAGCAGGTTGATTACATTGTATTAAACACTCTAATAAAGGCAGAAATAATAACTTGTTCAAATGCAAACTAAGCAAATAAGAATTTAAAAAGCAACTTTTATAACCTTCAATTCTTTCTTCTTTTACACTACAGTGCAAATAACCAGTGTTTGGGTAGCTCATTGTGAGAAATAGAAAATTCAAATTAAAGAAGGTCCCTCCAGCCTTCCTACAAGCCCCTGCTGTTTTACTGGCCCCAGCTTCTGAGCGGGCTTCGTGGCTTTCTGGCCTAAAATCTCTTCACCCAGCTCACTTAGGGAAGCCATGGAAGGACAGAGAAACTCTTTGTGTTAACCCTTCCTGGCACAGTCTACAACAATGACTGCACCACTCGCCTTCTTTAATCTCCCAGCTTTCCCTCTAGGTGAGGAATGGACTGTTGATATGATACTCATCTGTCTGCTTCGTCCTTGTACTCAAGGCAGGGTCGGGGCTCAACTTAACTGACAAGCAGGATGTCTTTAGTACTGCACTGACTTCACGAGCTAATCATCTCTAGGGGATCCTTAAGATGGTGTGTCAAGCTTGACTGTTTGTTCTGATTCCCATTCCAAGTCACAGGGGTTGTGTGTTGCTGGCAAAGTGAAAGATTCCACTCTATCATGGCTTAGCTGTGGTCTTGAGGTAAGTTTCTTGACCTCTTTTAAGTTTCAGTCTCCTCATCTGAAAAACGAGGAATTAATAGCTTGCCTTTTAGGTATAAGATGAGGATTAAGTGATCTACTATATACAAAGTGCCAGGCATACAATAGGTACTCAATATATGTTATTTCCATTCTTTGGTGGCCAATTTGAGATGTTTTTCTTTTCTTTTTGTTGATCTTTTTGCTATTCCTTTTTCGAAGGTGATTCCTTTGCTATTTGCTATTTCTTTTTCAGAGGCAAAAATCAGTATGTTGAGAGAAAGAAAAATGCTCCTGAGAATAAAACTGAGGATGAGACAAATACATTGGCTCTACAAAGAATCCTATGAAGTAAATTTATCATAAAATTTCCTGAAAGTGTCAGCTTATCTCAAGTGAGTATTTGTGGAGAGATGGGAATCACTTTCCAATGTGAAGATGCCCTGAGATATGAGAAGTGTTTTGAGTCTAGGAAGTACTTGAATGCAGAGGGAAATAAGTAGCATTCAGAACTAAGCTGCCTGGCTTAGCCTAGAAGTTAAGCATGGAAGGCAGTAAAAATAGGCTAGAATGCCACACACTTCATATCCACTGAACACTTAAATAGAAATTTCCAGAACACTGTTACCTTGGCAAGGAGTTAAGACCTGACGTGATTTCCTTATAACAGAAGGAAGTTGATGATAGTCTATGGAATGTTATATATGTATTTTTCCTAATTGTACAATTAAGAATTAGTCACTTGCTCCTAGACTTCTTTTAGAAGCAAATTATATAGGAATTGTCTATTCATATATAGAAGTACATTTGTTATTGAATAATAACTGGTGAGCATTAATTTAATTCTATATCTGCTTCTTGCCATTCAGAATAAATGAATTACCAAGAGTGAATTGCGAATTCAAACTTGGCTCCGGGAATGTGTCCTCTTCCAAAGTGTCCTAGGCACTGCCTGCATTTGTTCTGAGCTCTCTGTTCCTTTGTTCTTTTCCTTGTAAATGTGAAGCAAATGCTTGGCGCACACAAAAGGCCTAATTGGTTACCCAGTTGATAAAGGAGGTGGCTTGGAGGTCAGACAGCAAACTTTGAAGCTGAGAGAGTCCCTAGGGACCACATTTTCAAACACCAAGAAGGGTGGGTGCAGCCTTTCACTCTCTAATCACATTTTAGCATGAGTGTGTCCTTTAGTTAAGACTTAAAAATGAGGGTCTTACTGCTTCACATGTGCTTCGGAGACAGCAAGCCTTGGCATGGGGAAGGGTGTCTTTTCTGCTGACTTCCTTAACCTGTTTTAAATGTTCTTTAGGTACATGAAGGTTTGGGTTCCAGCATCTGTGTGCTTAAATTAAGAGCACAGAGGATAACCTTCCCTTACAGTGAAAGTGAAAATGTGTATGCAGAGATAGGGATGTGTGTACATGTGTGCACGCGTGCCTCTGTGTGTGTGTGTGTAGACTCAATAAAGTACCTTCTGAGTATAATCTTATTGTCACACAGACTTTTCTACATGGACCACATGTCAGTTGCCACTCACAGTTTCATAGGCTATGGGGTCCTATTTCCCAAAAGAAGTCACTCCCTTCACTTCTGTCTGTCACAGTGAGGTGATTCCCAGCTAGTGGCTTCTGAACAGGTCTCTATTTGTCAGTTACTCCTTGTAGCACTTGGACCTGTCTTCCTCTTTAGCTCAGCTAACTCATTTTGGTCTTGATGTTAGGTAGCCATTGCACATAAAATAAGGCAGCACAGGACAGTGGTTAAGATTGCCTGGGTTCAAATACTTACCCTGCTATGTACTAGCTGTGTAACTTTGGGCAAGCTATTTAGTCTCTCTGAACGGTAGCTTGCCTACCTAAACTAAGGATACAACTCTATGTCATAAAGTATTCAATGAAGTGCTTTATTTAAAGCCCTCAGAACAGTGTTGGAAGCATCATAATGATTCAAATAAATATTCTTACCAGGAGATTCTATTGAAAGCACTCATACTTGACGCAGACTCTGGACATATGAGGTTGGAAATGATTTTAAAAAACTATATATTGAGCATATACAATACGGTAGTGCTTATGAACACTTCCACATAAGTGTTTAATTCACATAACATCCCTATGTAAAGGTATTGCTATATTTAGCTTTCCATACAAGAAAGTAGAGGCTTGGAGATATTAAGCAACTTGTCCAAAGTCACACAGTTGGTGTGCTAGAATAATGCCCCCCACCCAATATGTCCACATTATAATCTTGGAACCTGTGAATTTGTTACCTTGACACATCACATGGCAAAGGGGATTTTTCAGATGTAATTAAATTAAGGATTTTGAGACAGGAAGATTAATCTGGATGATCCAGGTGGGTCCAATGTAACCACAGGCGTTCTCACACAAGGGAGTCAGGAGGGTTAGAGTGAGAGAAGGAAGATGGAAACCAAGGTAAGAGAGGGAGAGGGGGAGGGGGACAGAAAGAAGGAGGGGGAGAGGAAAAGACAGTGAAAGGAAGGAGAGAGAGAGAGAGAGAGAGAGAGAGAGAGAGAGAGAGAGAGAGAGAGAGAGAGAGAGAGAGAGAAAGAAAGAAAGAAAGAAAGAAAAAAGAAAGAAAGAAAAAGAAAGAAAGAAAGAAAGAAACCTTAGAAGTATACTTTGGCACCACTACAAACATGAAAGCCATGTCTATGCCATGCTGTCAGCATTTCCTGGAGCTGTGTGGGTTTCACTGCCCTTGGATGGTAATCTGGAAATGATGAAGAATTCTTTTGTTATATTTTCTTGTTTAAAGGTCTAATATAAGTTAAATGTTACAAATGTTAAAATGTTAATAGTGCATTAATTGTAAGTTGAAACAATAATATGATACTACTTTTCCAACCACAAATTGGCAAAAAAAATTTTTAAATGACAGCAAAGGATTTGGTAAGGCAATCGGAACGTGGGTGAACTCTCAAATACAGTTTGTGGAAGTATAAATTGATAAAAGTTTTTGAACGATAACTGAGAATTAACTATCAAATTTCCAAGTAATTCCTATCTGATAAGGCAGAAGGAGATGTATGAATTAAGCACAGACTTTGGACTCAGAGACCCTGAGTGCCAATCCTGGCTCTACCATTTAGAGCCCTGAGACCTCAAGCAAGTTGCTTAGCCTCTCTGAGTCTAAGTTTATTGCCTGCAAAATGGAGATAATTATAGTATCCATACCTCTTGGGGTTGTTATGGGAATTTAAAAAATTGATAATTGTAAAGTGTTCGCAGTGGTTTCTGGCATATAGGAAGCACAATGTAAC